TATATCTCTGATGCCTTTCAACCTGCCGCCCCTGCAGTGGAGCTCAGAGGGAGTGAGTCCATGTAAGTCTGTGCATGGGCCCTTTAAGAAGAACTGTCTGAGACTAGTAGTTTGTCTTCCACATTCTCAATCCCCACTGGTTTTTACAGCAAGAGGTCACACAGATTTATCTTTCTTACACTGGAACCCTGGGCTGGGAAGGGCTGGTGTGGGGCTGGGATCCCTCACTCCTGACATATCCCTCCCAATGTTTATCTGCCACATGTGGGTGTGGGACAAACCCATTCTTCGCCTCTGCCCCTCCTATCTGCCTTGATATGGTTTCTTCTTTAATTCAGTAGTTGTAGGACTTCCCTACAGCTCAATTTCTGATGGTTCTGAGTGATAGTTGTTCTTTAGTTTAGTTGTAATATTAGTGTGGTTTTGCAAGGAGGTGAGTTGTGATTAATTACACCATCATCTTGATCAGAAATCCTGAATTTCCCATTTAGAAAAGGTGAAGTTGGTACTTCCATCCAAGATGGAGTTATAGGTACATACACGGTGCCTTCTCACACAGCCAACAGAAGGACAGCAAATTTAAAAATAAAAAAATCACAAGAAGTGTTGTATGGAATTAACAACAAAGGAATTAGAGAAGAAACATTCATCCAGACAGGTAGGAGGAGCAGAGATGGGCAGCCGGAGAAGAGAGGACATGTGGCAAGGTGGTGGCTGGCAGACTGGGTGGTCCCACATTTGCCTGTGGATAAAATGGAAGTGACAACTGGGGAACGAGACAGACCGCACAACCAATGGTTCCAGCATGGGAAAAGAAAGCCTCAAAACCTCTGGCTATGAAAATCTGTGGGAGTTGTGGTGGTGCGAGAAACGCTCAGCCCTACAGTTTGTTGGAGAGACCCATGAGGTCCTTTAATGTACACAAAGCCACCTACCCAGGAGTCAGCACAAGAAGGGCCCAATTTGCTTGTTGGTAGTGGGAGAAGTGACTGAAAGCCATCAAAGAGCCAAGCAAGTGGCACTCTTCTCTCTCAGATTCCTCCTCCACATACAGTGCCACAGCCCAGCAATGTGGGTTGCCCCATCCTGGTGAAAACCTAAGGCTCAACCCCTTACAACATAACAAGAATGCCAAGACAAATAAATATCGTCCAGATGAAAGAACAGATCAAAACGCCAGAAAAAAATACAACTAAGCAATGAAGAGATAGCCAACCTATCAGATGCAGGGTTCAAAACACTGGTAATCAGGATGCTCGCAGAAATGGTTGACTATGGTTGCAAAATAGAGGAAAAAATGAAGGCCATGCAAAGGGAAATAAAGAAAAATATACAGGGAACCAACAATGAAGTGTAGGAAACTGGTATTGGGGGTCCCTGTTCGGGCACCAGATATGGGGCACTCTGGTCCTTGAAGTCCCCAGATTCACTCTGGATGGAAGAATCCTTACAGACACCATTTACCTGTCAAGGAAAGGGGAAGGCTATTCCCTCTAGTGAGGAATGTCCCATGCTCCATGGCTTTTATTGAGAGGGTTACCAGTAGGGGATAGGTAACAGGAATGTATAGGTAATCTAATTACATCAGTATCTTTTTACAGAGAGTAGCTGGTGTTTGAAGAAGACAAATGGCAGGAAACACACCAAATTGCTTGGTTCTGAGATGAGTAAACATAATGGCACCAAATGGGTTTTGGGTCAGGGTCCATGAAAAATGTAAATTTCCTTCCCAGCATGAGCTAGTTATCTCATCTGAGAATAACAGAGCTTGAGGGAGAAACAAAGCACGCTTCAAGGAGTGTAATTTACTTCTAGGCCTGATTCCCCCAAGGGCCCTCGGAGCTATTACCGTGCCCTGCCTATCAACAGCACTACCAGTTTTCTGGCCAAGACTTGCATAGCTTCTCCCAGGCCCCAGTTTGCATGGAACTACAGTCCCCAATACCACTCAAAGCGGCCCCCAACAAACTGGGACTTAAATCAATGATTTGGACTAGAAGGAAGAAATAGACATTCAACCAGAACAAAATGAAGAAACAATAGGCTAAGGAACCTCTGGGAGAACTTTAAATGTTCCAACATTTGAATCATAGGGGTGCCAGAAGGAGAAGAGGAAGAGCAAGAAATCAAAAATTTATTTGAAGAAATAATGAAGGAGAACTTCCCCAATCTGGCCAAGGAAATAGACTTCCAGGAAGTCCAGGAAGCTCAGAGAGTCCCAAAGAAGTTGGACCCAATGAAGCACACACCAAGGCACATCATGATTACATTACCCAAGATTAAAGATAAGGAGAGAATCTTAAAAGCAGCAAGAGAAAAGGAGACAGTTACCTACAAAGGAGTTCCCACAAAACGATCAGCTGATTTCTGAAAAGAAACCTTACAGGAAAGAAGGGGCCGGCAAGAAGTGTTCAAAGTCATGAAAGGCAAGGACCTATATCCAAGATTACTCTATCCAGCAAAGCTATCATTTAGAATGGAAGGGCAGATAAAGTGCTTCCCAAATAAGGTCAAGTTAAAGTAGTTCATCATCACCAAGCCCTTATTATATGAAATGTTAAAGGGACTTATCTAAGAAAAAGAAGATCAAAAACTAGGAACAGTAAAACATAGGGCGGGGGGAGGGGGATGAATGGAGGAAAAGGTACAGGGAATAAGCAACATAAATAGTAGGCACAAAATAGGCCGGGGGGGCGGGTAACAATAGTATAGGAAATGGAGAAGCCAAAGAACTTATGTGTACAACACATGAGCATGAACTAAGGAAGGGGGGAATGCTGGGGGTGCGGTGGTGTAGGGTGGAGGGGAATAAAGGGGGAAAAATGGGACACTTGTAATAGCATAATCAATAAAATATTATTAAAAATAAAAACGCAAATGAGCTTTAAAAAGATAAAATCACTCATCAATCTAGCACCCATAAGAAACTATTAACATTCTCAAAATATCCATTAGAATTTTTATATAGAGATAATTTATATATACACTTTTCTTCATTAAAAAGTATAATGTGTGCTTTTGCAGCCTATTTTTTCCACTTAAGATTACGTGCTGAATTTTTTCCAATAAGTGCAGATGCCCATCAACATTTTCAAGAGCTGCATAACGTTTCAATATGCAGACATATCCTAATTTGTTACCAAGTGCTTATTTTAAGATACTTAGTTATTCAAGTTTTTCACACATCAAAATGGTATGAAGTCTTATATAAGCCAATTATTTGATTATTTCTTAAGAATACATTTTTACCGGTGGAATTATTGGATCAAAGAGCATGTACATCTTGAGGCTTCTGAATCATGTGTCCAAATGGACCTTGTACCAGTATGCTCCCACCAGCACACTTTGAGAGTGCCCTCCCTCCACACCCTCACTGCGCTCTGGGTGGAGAGAGAGGTGGACCTTCTCCAGTATGGATGCCAACATTTCTCTCGATGGTTCCATAAAAGCCCTGCCTCAACCAACCTTATACAAGAAATCTGATAGAAGCACTAAAATTTATTCTTTCTTCTATTATGTTTTCTTTTTCTTTTTTTATCCTCAACTGTGAAGACATTTTTTCATTGCTTGGGTTACAGGACGATGCTCCAACCAACTGAGCCATGCCAGCCAGGGCGCTATTATATTTTCCAATTTCAAAATAGTAACTCACGTGCCCCCGCCAGCGTGGCTCAGTTGGTTGGGTGTTGTCCCACAGAGTGGAAGGTCACCGGTTCAATTCAGTCAGGGCACATGCCTGTGTTGCAGGTTCCCTCCCCTGTCAGGGTGCATGCCAGAGGCAACAGATCAGCTTTTCCCTCACATTGTTTCTCTCCCTCTCATTCTCCCTCCCTTTCCCTCTCTCTAAATAAATAAATATTTTTAAAAATAGTAGCACGTATTTACTTACATACATAACACAGTTGGCAAAGAAAGAGGACACTTTCCTATCAAATGCCCCCAGGACTCTAAAGTAAAACTGTCCCTCAATGCATGCCCCCAGAATAGGTCTCAGCACTTCTTTGTTCAAAGGGTCTCTCACTTCCTTCTTCCCCTTGCCATTATCATGACCAGCAGTGACATTTCACACCTTTATCATCTTGTACTCAGACTTATGGTGGTAACATCCTAACTGGCATTCTGATCTTCAGTGGCCACTCCTGTCCCCTTCCCAACTCAGAATCATCCTGCACAGAAATCAGCCACATCCTTTTCCTCTCATCCTGTCATTCCCATGGTCACAAAAGGCTTTGTTGCCTCCCACGGTCGGATAGAGTAATGTGCAGACACCTCAGTTTAGTAATCAGGGACCCCTTCCATGAATGGGACTCACCTCAATTGCTGGACTATATTTCTCATCACTTCCTTTCCCACGCTTTGCATTCAGGCAGGCCAGCCTCCTTTCTGGAACAGGATTCCCACCTCCATGCCTTTCCTCCCCCCTCTCCTCCTTCCTCCAGTGCCCTTCTGCCCTGTTTTTATCCTATCCTTCAAGCCCAGCTTACCTAAGCATCCTCCCCTTGTAAAAATTTCTCTGAGCAATGTCACCTGTAGAACTTTCTGCCCTGATGGGAAGGGTCTGGCCATAATCAGAGACTCCAGGTTTTGTTAGTATCTTTTTGTTTCAATACATCTTGCTTTTCCAAGTAGATCATAAACTCAAGGATAAAGACAGGTCTTTTCTTTTGCTTAAAACACACAACTTTATTAATAACAAAAATAAAATCTCAAATGTATAAACATAAGTCCGCACAAAGGACCAGAGATTACCTTATTTATGAAGAATCGGTTTAGTTTCTGCTCATGAAGCATATCAAAAACATCTTAATCCAGAAAAAGTAAAAATCAACACACATATTTTCAGTACAAGTTTGAATTAATTTGGTATTCATAATATTATCCAGCCATAGACCATCATAAGTAACATCAGTCTCAAAGTTATAATGAAATTTACTAAGTGTATTACCCTCAGGCTGCAAAATCAAAATATTACTTATATTTGTTTGAAAACATACAACTAATCAGAGTTTACTTAGTAATAGCTCAACTCTTTCTTTCACCTCAGTGTCATTGTATTCTGCTGCTAACACCCGAAGTTTCTTGGCACATGCTTTAGGTCGCTGGAATATGAAATAAAGAGAATTTTTACTGAATTTGTCCTGGGTAAAGACTCTTGCTTTTCTTTTAAAATGGTAATTTATATTTTCAAATAATGAAAGAGCATTAAGAATATTCTCTTTTGTCTCTTTCTTGCTAAAAATATTAATCAATGATGCTGGTGCATTGGCTATGAGCAAATCTTTTGTCATAGATGGATTTTTAGAGAAATTCAAAAGCATTCCCAAAATATGGTCTTTAGTTTCTCCACTTCCTACAGTTAACAAACGAAGAAACTCTGAAATATAATTTGTAACCATATGCTGATATTCACTAATAATAGTCAGGTGTTTTATTAATCTTAGTCCAGCCAGCTGCACATTTGAATTCAAGGGATAGGTGATGGTATCTTCACATACTTGGTTTAAGTATGTTTTAACCTTTCTATGCTTTTCAGCCGCTACTGAGATGTTATTTAGTGCATTTAAAGCCTTCTGTCTAACACTGGGATGGGGATTATTGAGCAAGCTTTCAATAATTGAGATTCTACCTGCATTACGAATGATTTCATGGGAAAATGGATAATCAGGACTGTTATATAGAGCATTATTGGCTATTTCATGAATAGAAGGATCTTCAGTCATCTCAATCATGCAAATGAGTTTTTCAAGCTCTCGTGGATCCATATTAGCTTTGTGTTTACAGCGGCAGGCCCCGGGCTGAGCTTTCTCCTGGGAACTGATCTGCTTTCTGAGCTCATCTTCAGGTGGTAAGCAAGACTCATTTGGGTATGGAAACTTCATTTCTGTCCAGATCATGGTTCCCGCCCATGACCCCATTCCTGCCCCAGGAACCATGGACGGATATGTACCTCTAGACTCAGATGATTTCTTGGCTTTAGTCTTAGGTGCAGATATGTCTTCACTTCTGTTTTCATTACCATCCCTGAACCGAGACATTACATTGCTTCCACCAACAGCCTCAAGATTATCCTTGGAGCTGGCCTTATCTCCAGCCCCACACTCAAAACTGACATTTTTCTTACCCTTGGGTCTATACTCATCATTGTTCTCACTCTCAGCCCAAAACAAGGACCTTAAACTGATTTCCTCAATATCAGGGCTGGACGCTCTACTTAGCTCATCCTCATCTATATCATTAGCCGAAGTCCACAACCTCATGCCAGGCTCTTCCCCTACGCCAAGCCTAGACCCTGTAGTGGTTGCATCTTCATCCCAGAGCCAAGACTCTTTCCTGGCCTCAGCTCCAGCCTCAGACCCCACATAGGAATCCAGAAAGGCCTCTTCTTCAGACGTGATCCAGGCTGCAATACTGGCCTTGTCCTCAACCCCAAATCTGGCACTAATGATGGCCTCTTCCCCATCCCCTGATCTGGATTCAATAGTGGGTTCATTTTTACCTCCAGGCCTGGACATAATACAAGTCTCTTCCCCTCTCAAGAACCAGGACCCTGTACTACTAGCCTCATTCTCAGCCCCCAACCAGTATCTTTCACTGGCTTCCACCCCAACACTGACCTGAGAATTTCCACTGGCTTTGTCCCCAGCCCTAGTCCAGGACCCTCCACTTGTCTGATTCTCAGGCCCCAGACTAGACCCAGCCCAGGATTTTTCACCAGCTTGATTCCCAGTGCCAGCCCAGGAGCCTCCTTCATTGGCCTGATCCTCAAATCCAAGTTTGGAACAGCTACCTGCCTGACCCCCTTCCCCAACCCAAGACCTTCCACTGGCCTGTTCCCCAGCCCTAGCCCAGGATGCACCACTGGATTGGTCCATAGGCCCCAGCCTGGACACTCCACTGGCTTGGTCTGCAGTGTCAGCACAGGACCTTCCACTGGACTGGTTCTCAGACCCCAACCTAGGCCTTCCATTGCCCTGACTACCAGCCCCAGCCCAGGATACATTTTCACTGGCCTGATTATCAAATCTAGGCTTGAATCCACCACCAGCTGTATTGCTAGTCCCAAACCAGGAACCTCCACTAGTCTGGTCCACAGCCCCAGCCCAGTACTCAATACTAGCCACATTTCTGACCCTAGCCTCAGTCCAGGGTCCTCCGTTTGCCTGAACCCCACCCCCATCCTGGGACCTTACATTGGTCTGCTCTTGAGCCTCAGGCCAGGACCCTCCAATGACTTCTTCCCTAGCCCAAGACACCCCAATGTCCTGGCCCCCAACCCAGGAACCCTCACTGACCTGACCTCCAGTCCAGGGTTCCCCAGCAGCCTGGTTCCCCATGCCAACCCAAGACCCCCCACTGACCTGGTTCTCAGCCCCAGTCCAGGACCTTCCAAAGGCTTCGTTCCCAGCCCAGAGATCCCCACTGGCCTGGTCCCCAGATCCATCACAGGATCCAATACCAGCCTCATTCTCAATCTTAGCCCCAGGCCAGGGCTTAATGCTGGCCTCATCACAAGCCCCAGCCCAGGACCTAATACCAGCTTTATCACTAGCCCCACTCCAGGACTCAATACTGGCTTCATTCTCTTCATCAGCCCAGGACATACTATTCTCCCAGTATCCATCCCTGGCCTGAAACCTAAATTTGATCCATCGCTCAGAAGTAATCCAATCTTCAATACCAATTCCATTCCAGTAATAGTCATGGACCTTAGGCTGTGTCTTTCCACAGAACTGAGTACCTGTCCACCCCTCACTCTCAGAAGTGGGCATGGCCTTAGGCTTGGGATCTTCATAGACAGCACCTTCCTGTATGACTTCTGCCTTAGATTTGGATATAATTTTGTCCTTTGCACCAAGTAATGTCTTACTCTGGGAAGGGACCATGAACTGAGGCTGGCTAAAGTCCATTGTATCTGTCCTGGCCTCTACCTTAGACTCATCATTAGACTTGCCCTTGACCTTACTCTTGGCAGCAAGAAAGGCCTCACTGTGGGAATTGTCTGCAGCCTGGGACTGAGTAGAACCTGTTATATCTTCTCCAGCTGCTAACTTAGACATAGTATTAGGATTGCTCCTGACCTTATTCTTGGCACCAGGCAAAGCCACATCTTGAGAAATGGCCACAGCTTGAGGCTGGACAGAATCTGTTGCATCTTCCCTGGTTTCTGCCTTAGACACAGCATTGGGATTGCCCTGCACCTTAACCTTAGCACCAGGCAAGCCCTCACCCTGAGAATTTGTCATAGCCTGCAGCTGGGCAGAGCCCACCACACCTGGCCCAGTCCCTTCCTTATATAGAGCATCAGGATTGCCCCTGACCTTATTCTTAGTACCACACAGGGCCTCATCCTGTGAACTGGTCACAGCTTGGAGCTGGGCAGAGCCCATTGTACCTATCCCAGGCCCTATCTTAGACACAGCATTGACATTTCCCTTGACCTTATTCTTTGCACCAGGCAAGAATTCACCTCGGGAATTAGTCACAACCTGGAGCTGTGCAGAGCTTGTTGCATCTACCTTGGCCTCTGCCTTAGACACAGCATTGGGATTTCCCTGGAGCTTACTCATGGCCCCAGGCAAGGCCTCCTCCTGGGAATTAGCTGCAGCCTGAGGCTGGGCAGAGCCTACTGTATCTGGTCCAGCCTCTGACTTAGACACAGCATTCAGTCTGCCCCTGATCTTATTCCTGGCGCCAAGCAAATCTTTGTCTTGGGGATTTGACACATCCTGGGACTGTGCAGAACCTGTTGTATCTGCTTCAGTCTCTTTCTTAGACACAGCATTGGGATTGCCCCTGATCTTATTAGTGGCACCAGGTGAGGCCTCACCCTGGGAATTGGCCACAGCCTGGGGCCAAACAGATCCTTTTATATCTGTTTGAGGATGGGCCAAACCCATTGTGTCTGACCCAGCCCCTAATTGAGACACAGCATTAGGGTTGCCCCAGACATTATTCTGAATACCAGACAAGGCTTCATCCTGGGCATTGTCAATAGCCTGAGGCTGACCACAAGCCCTCAGTTCTGCCTTAGCCCCTGCTCTAGAAATGGCATTAGGAGCTCCCCTGTCATCAACCCTGGAATCAGGAAAAACATCATCTTGGGTCTTGGTGCTGCCCTGAGGCTGTGCACAGCTTTTCATGTCTATCCCAGCCCCTGATTTACACTTCCCTTTGGCTTTGCCCCTAGCCTTAGTTCTAGTACTCAGTAAAGCTTCGACCTGGCTCATGGCAGAAGCCTGAGACCATGTCTTTGTGTCTGTTCCAGCCCCTTCCTTAGACATGATGTTGGCATTGTGCTTAGCCTTAATCTTACCATCAGGCAAACCATCACCCTGGACAGTGGTCATAGGTTGAGGCTGTGTATAGGATAACATGTCTGTCCCAGCCCCTAACTTAGAAATAGCACTGGAATTGCCTCTGGTCTTAAGCCTAGAATCAGGCAGGGCCTCAATGTGGGAACTGACCCTCAAGTTTGCCTTGGCCCTTGTTTTAGGCATGGCATTGGAATTGCCTCTACCCTTAACCCTGGCATCAGACATAGTGTCAGGCTGAGCAACAGCCTTCATATCAACTCCAGTCATTGCCCTAGTTGTGACATTGGTATTTCCCCTGTCATCAACCCTGGCACCAGACACTGCTTCAGCCTGTTTCTTGGCCACAGTCTGAGGTTGTATAGAAGCTCTCACATATATCCCCAGCCCTGCCTTACACATGGCATTGGTATTAACCCCAGTATTAACCCTCATTCCAGTCATGATCTCAGCCTGAACCTTGGTTACAATCTCAGACTGGGCAGAAGCCCTCATGTCTGCCCCTGACCCTGCCCAAGACATAATTTTGTGATTTCCCTTGGCTTTAACCCCAGAACAAGGCATGCCATCAGCTTGGATCTCGGCCACAGTCTGAGATGGTACATAAGACGTTATATCCACTCCAGCTTCTGCCCTGGACGTGACATTAAGATTTCCCTTACCATCAACTGTGGTACCAGGCCTGGCCTCAGACTGAAATTTGGTCACATTCACAGTCTCTTCCAGGGCTCTTGCTTTGATCTCAGCTACAATTCCAGTCTTATTTATGGCATTCATATTGGCCCCTTCCTTGGTCATTGCCAAGGCCTTATTCTGTGTCACCAGAACTCTGTTCAAGTCTGTCTCTTTTTCAGCCCAAATATGAGCTTCCACTTTGGTCTGGGTCATTGCTTCTTTCTTGGCCTCTTCCCTGGCAACCAATCCCCAAACTTTAGCCTTGGTCTGGGTCACTGCCTCTTTCTTGACTACTCTCTCAGCCTCAGAGTCTGTTTGGGTCACTGCCTCTTTCACAGCCACTTCCTTGGCTTTTACTTTGGCCTCACCTAAAGTCACTGCCTCTGTCATGATCACTGCTTTAACCTCAGGTTGGGTTTCTGCCTCTTCCCCAGTCCCAGCCATTGCCTTGGCTTGACAGTTGGCTTGAGGTATGACTCTAGCAGCAGCCTTGATATCTACTTCAGCCCCAGCCCCACCTCCTGTTCCAGTTTCTGATCCAGTCTTGGCCTTGGTTCTAGCCTCAATCTCTGTCCCATCCATGGCTTCATTCACATCCAAGGTCTGGTTCTGTACCCCAGCCACAGTCTCCATCTTGACTCTAGACCCATTGCTGGCAAGTCTCCTCACACTCTTGGCTCTTCCCTTGGTTAATCTGTAAATGTAGTAGCAGGTACCAGCCCAGATCACCAATCCGGCAGTCACCCAGCCCACTTCCTGAACGTGACCCATGTAATCACCCCTGATGAAGGAACAAACAAAGTACAGTGGGGCTCAGATGGTCTAGGAAAAGAGGATGGTAGGTCTGGGTGTACGCCTGTAAGGATGCTGGTCTTCAGCTCAAAGGCCACTACAGCTGTCACTGGAGGTGGACCTAGAAGTGGAGGAAGAAAATGCACTAAAATTTGTCTTCTAATTCTGTGCATCATATAAATAGATACACAGAAGGACAAGAAAGAGTAGAAATAATGTTCTTGGTGGGAGAAGAGGATCATTAGCAAACTCTCTCTCCATCCCTTCTACTGTATCCCCTCCCCATTTTCCCCAGTACCCAACAATTTCCCCACCAGGTACTTCCACAGACATTTCCTTACACCAAATGAATAGTGAAAAAGATGGTGGAAGGGCTGACTATAAATGAGAGAGACTGAGAAGCCCCCAGACCTTGATTTTGATTGGACTTACTCTGGCCAACACTCCCACAGGCCCCTACCCCCATACCAACCTGCATTGATCCAAGGCAGTTCCCTCCTCTTTCTTCCTCTTGCTTGGTGATATACCCTAAAGCAGATCTACAGATCTAGAGACAGACAGACAGACAGATGGAAGGACAGATGGGGGTAGAGATTTTGTACTTTATGTGACTAGCATATTATTAGCAAACTATCTCTCTATCCCCCTCAGTTCACCTCACTCCCTGTGCCAAAATAAAAGTGAGGTTGTGATGTAAGTGACAGGCATGGTGGGAAAGGTGGCTGGGAAAAGGAGATCTGAGAATCTTCCAGATAGGACACTGGAGCTACTGGATACATGGTGGCCTCAACCATCCCACTCTAGAGGTCGACCCGGGAAATCCCCATCTTCTTACCATTCTTGACTGATCAGGGGCAATTTTCTCTTTGTTTCTTTGCTTCCAGTCATCTCAAGCCCTGCAAAGACCTGCAAGCAGATCTATGGACATACAAACAAACAGGAGGTAATAAGAGACTGAATCCTTCATAGAACAGATAAGCACCCTGATCCCTGACTCCAGTACTGCCCGCCTGAGAGTCTGGCTCCAGTTTGCTGATGTGTCTCATTTCAGGGTCTCCCCTTGTCTTCCTTCAGCCATACTTCAGCCCAACCCTACCCCAATATCTTTAAATGTTTTCTGCACTGAAATCAGTACAGTGTGTGGCAACACTGTGGAAATCTGGCAGAATGCAGGAGAAGTTATTGAGATCCTCTCAAGCCTCAGCCACTTTCTGTTCCCACCCTTTTAAACACTGCCCTCCTTCATACCAACCTTCACGGTTCTAGGCCAGTCCGCCCTTTCCCTTGCTTCCAGTGGTAAACAGCCCTACTATAGGTATAGATGAAGATCTAGGAACAAACAGAGAAAAAAGGGAAGGTGAATGATGAGTGTTTGTGACATCTCAGCATTTAAGACACAGGTCTCAGTACCTGCCATATTGGATTTAAAGACCCATTCCCTGGCAGGCAAAACCTTGAAATGGGCAGGGTGGAAAAGGGAGGCAGGAAAAATAAAAGGGGAGTGACGCAGGCAAAATCTTTTAAAACCACCTGTAGTATTCTAGGGCTTCTCCCAAAAGTCCATCATTTCCTTCATCAAGATTCTCAGACAGGCAGGGTATCTGAAAACTGGAGGATGGTGAGAGAGAAGGAGGCCCCCAGGTCCCAAACTCTAGAATCCTCATAGCCTACTGCCATCTACTTTCCCTTAAACCCATTTCTAGGAGTCTGCAGAAGAAGAGACAAGGTGTGGGGGAAGGCTTTTGCTTTTGTAAAATCACTATCTTTCCCCTGCAAAGACTGACTCTCTTTCTCAAAAATAATGTTCCTTAATACAACAATTTGTATCTTCTCAATATTATTTGAACTGCAAATGAAATCATCCATTAAAAGAAGTTTGCTATCTTTACTTCTTCAATATTTAATTTAAGTTTAAAATCCTAAGCTTGGTAAGTAAACACAATTTAGGGAAAGTCCCCCAGCTAGCTGCACCCCATATCCCAACCCGATAGTGGCACCTAAGTTCCTGTCATATAGAATTTACATTGATCTTGGGCGGTTCACAGACAGTGCCCATGCTCACACTAACCTCCACAGATCATGTGCAGCTCTCTCCACTCCTTCTCTCGCCTAGCCACAAACTACCACACTGAGCTACTGTCTGTCAGACAGCAGTAAAGGCAGTGAGAGCTTGGACCAGAACCCCGGACTCACATACCAATACTCGCCGGCCTGGATTCAAGAACCTGGTTATCAAACGTTGCTCGCAACATTCCGGTAAGCCATCCCCACCAACCCTGCTATCCAGTCATTAAAGCCCACCATTTTCTCTGCGAACGCCACAGTGGCGCGTCTTTTCCACTGAAATGAGTAGAAAGCTGAGTGGCCGTGTGCGGTCAGTGATTAGAGTCAGGGAAGAAGGACATTTCAACCTCTGTATTTCCCTCTTGAATCGCTCCCCACACCAGCCACCCTGTGCAAGCCCACGGTCCCTCTCCACACACTAGGCAAGAGGAGGGGGGGTCGGGAGACTCAGAGGGAATGCTCCTGGAACTTGAGCCCACATTGTTCCCCACTCCCGGACCGGATACAGGGGTTGCCGGGCAGCTGCCACCCGGGCCTCCGCACGGCCCCAGAGCCTTACCTGCGCCGCTTTCCCAGGCTGACACCAGCCTGCGACGCCAGCCTGCGGTGCGCAGGACAGCGAGGAGCTGGTACCCATAAGGGAGTGACAACCGCACCACGGAACGCTGCGTCGCTCTGCAGCTCCCGGTCACGTGAGGGCCCCGCGTCATCAACAGCTCCCCCCACTCCGCCACACACACACACACACACTCCACATGAAGAACTACCCTTCCAAGTCTCTGCTGGGCCCAGCACTCACCTCCGTGTCACTCAGCCTGCTCCCTTCCAATCTGAGGGCCCACAAGTGGTCTTCTTTCCCTGCGGTTGGGGGTTTGTTCAATGGTTACGCTGGAGGGTCTGCATTCCTCACCCACTCCCAAGCTTTGGACCTATCCTTTACTGATGCTTCTTTGAGGAATCTTCTCTTTCTCTCTGAGGCTATGCGATGAATGTTCCTCATGGGGTACCTTGCTGCAACAAACTGGGCTAAGAAGGGGATGTCAGGAAAAGAAGCAGAGAGTGGGAGGAAAGGGTTAACTTTCTTTTCCTCTCCTTTTTTGTTTGTTTGTTTATTTTCTTTTAACATTACATTCATTGTTTTTGTAATCCAGAAATATAGTCAAGCTATTTTCATTTGACATTTAGAAATGAGGTCGTAAAAATCACAGAAGACTCATTTTTATACATTATTTTTGCTCCACATTAAAAAATGTTTCCTAGTTGCTATAAATGGTTTTGCAGCTTTCAAAACAGATTAGTAATTATTGACATTTTAAATATAAAATTGTCCTAAACAAAACCAGCACATTTTCAATGAGACCTATAAATTAATCTTTGGAAAGACATTCAGTTTTCTAACCTTGGCAGTTTTCCACAGGTGATTTACAGCCTTTGGAAGTCCTGGATGAATTTATGATCTTGTGTCAAGTGTCTGAGAACTTCATAGATGACTGCTGGATGATTGAATGAAGACCCAACTCCAGATGAACCTAGTGCCTGAAAACTAATGACTCCCCAGATTAACATGTTTTTCATTCAAGGGGTTTTACAAAGCAGTCTACCTCATCACACCGCAAAGGACCAGCTGCTAACCCATTGATGGAAATGAGGCCTAGCAAGTGGAATTTTTATTTAATCATGACACTGGTGTGATAGCTCTGGTATCTTCCATTCATATGCTATATCACACTAGCAGTGGCTAGTGTTCAGTACGTTCCAGTGGAGATAGTGGTGAGGGTCTGTGGGTGTCTGTAAATTACTGCAGCATCCCTGAGATCCATGTCATTTTTCCCTCACAAAAAAACACAGTTTACAAGAGCCCAAGCAGTTGCCAGGAAGAACAGGCCTTTTGTTATGATTTCACTGCACCACTCCTATAAGCCTCTCAGAATAATCCCAGAACTCAGGAAAAAATTGTGCAAAAGTGAGTCCCCAAACATCCAGCTGTCCCCACTGGAGAGTTATACTCTAAATATAGAACCTTCAGGCAGCCTCTCTTTGAACATTGAAATATGACACCCCAGTAGAAAGCTCCCAACTGAGAGAGACCCTTCTGTGGGGGTAGGCCTCTCTAGGAGGTGAGCCAGGGAGCTCAGTCTGACAGAAACTTACTAATGGTTTTTCTGAATTCTATTATCCATGATCAATGTATGCTCTTCACCAAAGAGAAAGATTCAGAAATTGATTACATAAACACAAAACTTTAGTAAAGTAAAAAAACCAACCCATAAGCAGAGAATGTCAAATGACTAATTTGTAATAATCTAAAAATTCTTACAAACCATTAGAAAATTCAAACGACCCAATAGAAAAATGTGCCCATGACATGAATGGATTTGTTCACAGAAAAGAAATACAAATTATGGATAAACTTGTGAAAGAATGCTCAATTTCAAAGAAATGCAAGTCGAAACAACTGTGTATTACCATGTTTCAGCTAGCAGTTTGTCAAAATTTAGAAATGTGATGATATTGTTGACTGGTCTGTGGGGAAATGAGTACTTCTACAATCTGTTAGAGGAAGATACTCTGATGCAATCTTTTACCAGAGAGCAATTTGGCAAAATCTATTATATTGATAAATACAGAGTGGGGCAAAAATAGGTTTACAGTTGTTTATGTGGAAAAAATACAATAATTAATAAGTAATAATACAAGAATAAACTCTCTTACAATATAATATATACATTATATTATGCATTATATATTATATATTAGGATATCTACTATAGTGCTTGGAAAGGTTAAAAAACTGAATCAACATAAAATATCGATCAATAAGGGAAAAATTAAATGCATTATGTTAAATCTATACAATAGAGTTGATTTTAAAGGATTTAGCTCTGTGTATCTTGATGGAAAGGTACTTAGGGTAT